TGCCTTTGAGCTGTCCCAAGGTCTCTGCCTCCAGCTTGGGGAGATCGGTATGTGGGTGACCCTTGGCCTACTGGACGTTGTGCAGTGCCAGAGGAAAGGGTGTAAAGTCTTTTACGATGCGCAATACTTGCAAATATTATTTAGACAGAAGGAAATTTATATTTACTCACATAAAAAGTGAAGAGTGCTGGAAACAGTCAACACGTGGATATAGTATATAAAGGGTTTTTTCTCATTTTTAACTCTTGAAGAAACGTTGAGGGTTAGGAGTGTGTTTCAGTGATGTAGAACCCTTGCCTACTATGGGTGAGGCCTGGGTTCCACGCCAGCCCCACGCACCCTGAGCAAAAATAAGATAACTTAGCTGGTAAAAAGTTAATTGCACACCTGTCACTGTGACTCAGCAATCTCAGTCCTAGGTATTTACCCAAGGGAAGTGACGCCTGTGTCCACTAACACCTGTACCTGTTCTTTTTGGTTTGGGCTCTTTTGGAGGCAGGGTTTAGGTAGGTATTCCAGGCTGGCTTTGGGCTCGTCTCAAACCGGCAGCAGTCCTCCTGCCTCCGTGCCTGAATGCTAGGACCCAAGTTTTTATGGTTGTTTCATTTTGAAGTGGCAGAACATAGAAAAACCCAACTGTCCCTCAACTGCATAATACATACAAAAGAGAGCTATAGATTGGCACGGTAGCACAGATGAATCCAAGCTGAAAGGAGTCAGATCCAAGAGGCTAACCAGTGCATGGCTTCATGTGTTTGACATTCCTGCAAGGACCACTACAGAGACAGGAAACCAGCTGCTCCCAGGGGCCGTGGCTAGGAAGTGGGTAGATGCATGGGAAGTTGTGGGCCGAGGAACTATTCTGTATCGTGGTCGTGGTGGTGTTTCCTTGGCTGCTTATCAGTATCAAAACCTCAAGAACAGTGCAGTTCTCTCTGCTAAGGTCCAGTAATGAATAGACTCAAAGGACATGCACTGTTCAGCAGCAGGAACCCGGAGTTCATGCCAGAAGCTCAGGCCACAGCAAAGGCCAAGATGTCCACCTCGCTGTGTCATTATTGCAAATACCTGTAATTCCTTCAGGAAGGCCTGAAAGTCGAGCTTGCTTTACCGCTGCCTGGACCGCTTTCAATGCTTATTCTAGGAGCCTCCTTTTACATTTCCACATTCGTCTGTAAACCAGGCCTGGATCGTGTATAGTGCTGCCTCAGCTCCTGAACTGACTTCTTTCAGTGCTTAGGAAAAAGGTGAAACTCCAAATGCAAACAATTAAGTTCATGAAGCGAGGTACAACTGTAATAGAATTTTAAGCTGTACAATGTACGTGCTGTCCTGAAGGTTTCTAATGTTAGGCTTTGTCCTTCAGGACGGGAGGCTACAAGTCACTAATTTTCTGCATGTGAGTTATTAAATGTTTTTTGAAGGTGCCACAATAGTAGCACATAACAATGACTAGAAGGGAAGGATTTCTTTTTTTTAAGACTAGTCAAGTGGAGTAGTGAGAAGAGGGGAAAGAGTAGAAAAAGGAGTTCAATCTGTAACTGACTGTGAACTATCAATTGAAAGAACTCACTACCTTTGGATCGGCCTGTGTATGTGTCTGTGTTTTGTTTTTTTTTTTTTTTTTTTGGCCAGCTCAGCCTGCCCTAAGGGCCAATCTGGTGTGGCTTGTGGAGATGGGGATCAAACTGCAGTCCCCTGTGCCTGACTGAATTTGCCTATGTAGGCGGGCGCTTTAAATAACTGAGACAACCAGCATGCCCAGCTAAAATGTATAGAGGGAACTGGACTTGGAGGAGTGTGTCTGTAGTTTCGGCTACTCATGGGGCTGAAGCAGGAGGACTGCTTGGGGTCCACAATTTGGAGACCCATCTGCGCAACATAGTAAAAAACTTTTACAAGAAATAAATTACTTGAGGCATATGGCTTGCTTTTTTTCACTTATTTATTTGTGTTGTGATGCGGGGATGGATCCCAGCAGCTCATATGTGCTAGGCAAGCCTGAGCCACAAAGCCGCTGAGCTACACATCAGTCCTATGGCTTGGATTTTGGCTTCATCCAGACCCGTCTGCTTTTGTTTGGCTGTCCTGGCTGGCATATGAGGAGCGCTTTTTCTCCCTTGGGGCTGTTGTCAGAATTGCTACTTAGTTCCATTACTGGAGGGAAATGTTCAGGCATCTGCCAGAGAATACCTTTGTCTGTTTCAGTGAAATTATCTAGGGAATGTATCCCCCCCGCCCTCCCCCGCCAATCAGAGATTGAACTCAGGCCCTTGCACTTGCCAGGGAAGCGCTTATTCCACTGAACCATCTCCCCAGCCCTGGAAATTTTTTGTAGTATTGGAGTGCTAATCCTCCAACACTCTATCCCTGACATACCTCCCCAGTCCCATCTCCCTTCGATTTTGAAAATAATGTTATGGGCTGGGGAGATGGCTCAGTAAAATAAGCGCTTCCTTCGCAAGTGCAAGGGCCTGAGTTCAATCACCAGTTTCGCAAAAATAAATAAATAAAAATTTAAAAAGACATCCTTTTAGGGCCATGGAGATAGCTTAGTGGAATAAGTGCTTGTCCCGCAAAGCACAAGGTTCTGAGTTCGATCCCTGGTCCACCAAAAGAGAGAGAGAGAGAGAGAGAGAGAGAGAGAGAGAGAGAGAGAGAGAGAGAGAGACTAGTGTCTTGCTGGGTGGGACTCAAATCTGTAATCCTCTGGCTCAGTCTCCCTTAGTCCTGGGGCTAGAGGTGTGACCCAGATGTTGAAGGAAATTTTGAATGTGTGATTTTTAAACATTTTTAATGAATGAATGAATGAAGTTTTTGCAGTACCAGGATCAAACTCTGGACCTTGTGCTTGCCAGGCAGGCTGTTAGCCCACTGAGCTATATCCCCAGCCTTAGGAAATTTTAAAATCCAGTGAAAGGAAGATATACTGTCTACCTTGTCAGATGAATCCATCTGGAGTTTCACAGTTTGCCTAAACACTGAAAGGAAGACACTGGCAAAATCCAAGGTCACACAGCAAGTGCCACTGGGGACAGCAGTTCGGTTGTACTAAGTGGTGATGCGGCTAGCACAGGTGTCACCTCTTACTTAGGCTTCCATAGTCCACAGTGATTTGCCAGCCACTGCGTTGTCGCCTGTACTCAGTGATGTGGAACTGAGAAGTGACATCATGTTAGTCCTTCAGTGAAGAAGGCTGTGTTTTTGCTTTTCCTCTGCCATGCATGACTTTATGCTAATTTCTTGATTTGTGTGGGCTCTGGAGCATAGACAGTTCTCCTGAATGCGCTGTCCTAAGTGTGTGGCCACGCCAAGGGATGACAAGATCATGGGACCAGCATGTGAAGGTATTTGCACCTTGCTGAAAACCTTCTAAAGCTACATGTTTCGGTTACTTTTCTCTCATTGTTGGGACCAAAATACCCGACACCCAAATTTAAGGAAGGAAAGGTTTGTTTAGCTTACAGTTTGTGGAAGTTTCAGTTCACACTGAAGGCAGAGTGGCACAAGGCAGAGAGCAGCAGCTCACGGCTGCAGAAAACAGCAAAAGAGCAAGCGCAAAAAGGGAGGGGCAGGAGCAGAGACAGACAGGAAGCTCCCCTCCCTCCCTTCTGTTGCATTCGGGCTGTCTGGCCCAGGCTCGGTATAGCACTCCCATTTGTAATCCCAGCTGCACTCACACCCAGAATCCCAGCGTTGGATCATGAGTTAAGCATAACCTCTAGAAGCCTGCCCATGACTGCATGAAGCTTTGGAGGGACACCTAGACACAAACCGTAACACTACATGATTAGGCAGCTTAGTGAGAAATAGCCATTGCACTCCAGACAGTATACCCAAATGTTCTCATAGTCATGTCAATCTCAGGTCAGGGGCTCTCTTCATCCACAAGCCATAGATAGTAAAGATCAAAACTTCAAGACGAGCCAGGGCCAGTTTGACCCTAACTCAATAAGAATACAACAAAGCTGGGGCTGGAGAGATGGCTCTGTGGTCTAAAGCACCTACTTGGAACAAGCTTGGCAAAGCACAGGGACCACGGTTCAATCCTCCAGCACCACATGCCAGCCAGCCGCGCCCCCTGGTGGGCTGAGCTGGCCACACACACACACACACACACACACACACAAAA